TTTTCCTTCCACCTTCGATGTAAGTCATCGCTGGTTTCAAGGACCTGAATTCCTCAGGAAAAGTCCTGATTTATGGCCCAAACAAGTGGACACCATAAATAGCTTAGAAACAGGTGAAGAAAAATCGCCAAAGGGCGTAAATACGTTAAGAAAGCAAGAACCGTTAAGTCTACCCGACTACGGACGATTTAGCAGCTTTAAGAAATTCCTTGGAGCAACTACACGCACCTTACAAGCGGTAGAAAAATTCAAGAGTTTAAGAAAGTCGGTTAAAGGACCCGACGACGCAACCGAAAAGTCGGTTATGTGTTCCAACAAAGTTTTAGCAAAGTCGGTTAAAGGACCCGATAGCGCGTTGGACACAGCGCTCTTGAAAAAGGCGGAAATATTAATTTGGAAATTCATTCAAGACGAGTGTTTTCATTCGGAAATAAAATGTTTGAAAGCAGGCAAAAGCGTTGAAAGAAGTTCACGCTTAAGTAAATTATCTATGGAAATAGGAGAGGATAACTTACTCCGTTTAAATGGACGTTTACCTTTCAAGTCTAATTTGACCGAGGAAAGTAGAAAACCTGTCATATTAGACGGTAAACACGAAATCGTTAAAATGATGATTAGAGAAGTTCATCATCATTTTGGACACGCCAATCACCAGACGGTGATGAATGAGGTGAACCAGAAATTTTACGTCTTGAACTTGCGTAATGTAGTACGAAGTGTGTCACACCATTGTCAGTGGTGCAGGACATACAGGTCAAAGCCGCAAAACGTGCCACAAGGAAATATTCCTCTGGAAAGAATAGCTCATCATGAGCCACCTTTTACATGCTCAGCTGTAGATTATTTTGGTCCTATGAGTGTGACTATAGGAAGGCGACACGAAAAACGTTGGGGCGTTTTATTCACGTGTCTGACCACCAGAGCAGTACATCTGGAATTAGCAGCCTCATTGACACCAGCGTCAATGATAATGGCGTTAAGGCGATTTATCGCCAGAAGAGGAAAACCAGCCGTTATATACAGCGATAACGGGACAAATTTCAAAGCTGCAAATAAAGAATTATTGAAAGCATGCGAAGAATGCTATGAGGGCATGACAAACGAGTCATTTAAGAAATATATTAAATGGAAATTTATACCTCCGGGAGCACCGCACATGGGTGGCGCCTGGGAGAGGTTAGTAAGATCGATTAAAATTGCGTTGACCGCTACGCTTAAGGAGAAGAGCCCACGAGAGGAGGTTCTACATACGTTACTTTTAGAAGCAGAGCATACGGTAAATTCCAGACCTCTGGTAACATTCAGTATGGATAGTCCTGAAGAGGGTTTGACACCCAATCATTTTCTTCTGGGACGCTCATGTGGTGATCGACCACCTGGATTATTTTTAGAGCGACATCTGACGGGTCAACTCAATTGGAAAGCTGCACAGAGGTTAGCCGACCATTTTTGGACAAGATGGCTGAAAGAATACATGCCTACGTTAATACCTCGAACAGGTGATAACGGCAAGTTCCTGGACCCTAAAGAAGGCGATATTGTTTTGATAATAGATCATTCGTTGCCACGAAATACGTGGCCAAAAGGTAAAATTAGTAGAACGTTACCGGGACCAGACGGTCACACCAGAGTGGTTGACGTCATTACTAGCACAGGTATCTTGAGGAGACCTACATCCAGAATAATAGTCCTGGTACCCGCGACGCCTCCCAAATGATGGTGCTAACGCACGGGGGGGGAGATTGTTGGCGACGCGCCCATAAAAATGTTTCAGTTTATTAAATCAACCGATGACGTTGCTATGAAAAAAGGGGTAGTCACGAGCAACGACGCTCTGATAAGAGAATGCTTAGTTAAATCTTTAAGAAATGTCGAATTAATGATATGAAGGTCTTGGGTTCGACTCCCAGGCCGGACTAGTTTGTTTGTTTTCCTAAGTAATATCGCTTAATAAATTCGTAAGGAATTTAAGATATAAATTATGTTACCGGATTTGTTCCCCGGTTGAAATCATCTTTCAAATGATGTAAATTCATAAGAATATTAAAGTGAAGTTAAAGATCGGATTTGTTCCCCGGTCGAGATAATCACTCTGTGCATAGGCAGAATTAATGGATATTAATTGCATAAATGTTGTTTTGTATAAGTTTGATACGTTTTGTACGAAAACAAATGCCTATTTGTTATGATTGATTAATGAGAACATTCATTTATATTGTTATCTGATTAAAGATAGTTTCATACAGTTCGAAAATTGTATAAAAGCATTTAATTTGCCTAATGTGGTCAAAATTGGTGTATTTCATAATTTAATTTTTTCTGATAGCCGAGAGCCGTGCAAAGTTAGTTGTTCACATAGCGTGAGTACACGGAAGCACGCTGGCCACGCCCTTAGGAGGCCGAATATGTAAAAATTTAAAATGTTTGTAATTCAGTGATTTATGTAAAAATTACTTGTAAAATATTTCAGGTTAATTGTACGTGCTAAAAAGGTAAATTCTGTGTTATTTTCATGTGAAAATTCCTGTGTATAAGTGAAATAATGATAGTTTTGTATAAGAAATTTAAAAGTGTTTTAAATAGTGAAATAAATAGAAAAAATGTAAATTAAACTATTGTATTGGTTAGCTTATGTATAAATTCAAGTGAGAAACATTGTTTTAACTTTCTGTGTTAAATATTTAAGAAATTTCGATTTCGAACTTGTGAGTAAAATAGGCAGTTTTCGTTTAATAAATAAAAGGTTTTTTATGATATGAAGATATGATGTATATCATGGTGTAGATATTGTTTTGTACTACCTATATTGATAAATTGTATTTGTATATGATTTGAATAAATAAAGATATTGAGTGAAACGTGAGAGAGTAATAGTACAAATTCATGTAATTAAGTTGCGCAAGCGCGCAGATGGCGCGGCTCACTTTCGCGTTTAGCTTAGGGGTAGGATAGTAAATTGATTTTATTGCAATTCGTTCGGGAATGGTTCGGGAAATATTCAAGGAAATCGTTCGGGAATCGTTCGGAAATCGTTCGGGAATGGTTCGGGAAATATTCAAGGAAATCGTTCGGAAATCGTTCGGGAATCGTTCGGGAATCGTTCGGGAATCGTTCGGGAAATATTCAAGGAAATCGTTCGGGAATCGTTCGGGAAATATTCAAGGAAATAGTTCGGAAATAAATAAGAAAATCCGGGAAAAAGTTCAAGAAAAGTGAAAAACCAGCAGTATAGGGAAAAGTGATTACTCTCTCACGGAACGGTTTGAAGATAATTGCTGTTTCATTCCCAAGATCCTTTAAGTTATACAGTCCACATCGAAGAATTAAGGCGTCGGGACCGGGACGACTTCGGAAGACCCGTAATCCCCGTCTGAACCTACTTGCTGAAAAGGAAGAGGTTATCGCCCTAGTGTGTTACTCCGTTGCGGAGATCACATACGTTGTTCCCGAACCCAACGTTAGGCGTGATAGGAGGCCGGATCGAGAGAAGCCTCGATTCCTGTTTCTTAGTACCCGATCCGCCTGGTCCTTTTCAATTGGTCCTTTTCAGGATCAAGAGGGACACCGACCTGGTCCTTTTCACCTTTAAACGAGCAATTCTTATATATATATATATATATTTTTTTTTATACTCGGAAACGGCTCCAACGATTTTCATAAAATTTTGTATCCAGGGAGTTTCTGGGGCAATAAATCGATCTAGCTAGGATTTATTTTTTAAAAAGTGTTTTTTTTTCCGTGTTTTCAGGCAATGAAAAACTGCTACAATATAAGAAGGTAAATTTTGACACTGTGTTAATGATCGTAATAGCTCAAATGGATATAGAGCGGTCGCGGAATCGTAAGGCCTTGGTTCGCGTCCCTTCTCCGGTCCAATTTTTTTTCCTTTTTTTTCGAGTTACCTTATTTTGTGAGAAAATCTATTATTTCGAGCCCTTTTTTATTATTTTTTAAAAATACGAAAATTTTAATTAAACTAATTGCACTCATGATTTTTTATTCAAATAACCAGTTCAGTTTTTTCTATTATGACAATAAGATCAAAAAATATTATTCATCAGTATGTAATTTGTATCTAAATGTAATTTCAAAAAAAAAACGAGCAAAGCTCGGTTAACCGGGTAAAAACATTAACACGAACTATAATTCAGTTAATGACGGTCCGTAAAAACTTATGTTTAAACTAAGTTTTTACGTTTAACGTCGACTGTACCAGATCACGACCTTCTAACCGAATACCAGCATAAACAGCAGACCAGCGTTTCGTATAGTCAGTGTAGAGAACTGAAGACTCTTTTTACTGGAAACAAGGCATTCCATTTTATTCTTATGGGGTAACAACGTATCTGCAATTTGTATCGCATTAAATGATAGATGGACCTCAGCATATTATGGTCATTCAGACCGAATTTCGGTCACGGCGGCCAGTCTTCAACAGAGACTAGCCATCTGCACAGGACAGGATTATACCCCAGAGTTTGTACCTGCGCATGCACATGCGCACGTACACTCTCTATTCCCCCACTTCCGTCCTATGGCACGGCAAACCAACACGACCGGAAAGAGTTCAGGAGCAGGGCCTACGGATTCACGTGGTTTCCGAGGAACGCGGATGCCGTCAACTTCCTGACTCTGGGCTGCTACTGAGATTTTTTTGAGAGGAAAACTCAATAACTGTTTATTACCCGGGCTTTGAACCCAGGACCTCATGATCAGCATTCGCGTTTAAGACCACTAGACAAACAAGGTAGTCAAACCATCCGTTAGTTACATACATGTGGGGAAATTATAAATTTAAGAAAGTTAAACAAAAACTGCGTCATCATTGCTTTCTTATCCTGAATTCCTAATATGTAACTGAAGACACAGAACCATAAACATATGCAACAAGTTGCCTCAAGATGTGGTTGACGCTCCTCCGTGATGCCTAATATTACATAATAAAGCAGCTGACCTTCATCAGCACAAGCCCTTGACTTCACCCGGATATGATTCTGTACCTGAAGCACGGGGTATAGCATGAGTCCAATGGGGACCTCCTTCATGGTTGCGGATTTCTCCTTGTACTGCGGTAAGTGTGCGAGGCGCGCGTGAGTGGCGAGACAGGCGAGGAGCCAGCACAGCTCCGCGTGACGCGGCACCGCAGACTGCACGAACAGCACGCTGCGCTCCGGGTCTATGCCTGCAGCCAACGCCAGCGCTGTCATGTCCAGAACGCGCTCTTCCAGCAGCTGGCCATCCTGTGACCATAATCTTATGTGTACACCATCACCCATTAAAATCAATACAAAGACAAATCTATCTTTACAAACAAACACAAGTTATATCTGAGTATTTTTTTACGTGGTAGAGCCATGCTGCAGCTATATTAGTAGTAAGTATAGTTGTAGCATGAATAGATCAGCTTGATCGGAGAAGGACCATTCTCACAGAAAACCAGCTTAAAATAGCTGCTCAATGTTGCTGAATTTTGTATAGTGAGTGTAGATAACTGGAAACTATTTTTACCTGGAAACGAGGCATTCCATCCTAATCCTCAGGGGTGGCAACACATCTGCATTTTGATTCTTAATTGAGGATAGATGTTGTCTGTGAGTCACAGTATCCACCTACCATGAGGTGTATTGTGTGCTCGCTAGTCACCCTCATTCTACAAATTCAAATTCATTTATTTGCCAGAATGTATGTGTACAATAAAGTATGATCTTAAATTATGTGGTGTAATTATGTAATAATGGCCCATTTACATTCTACCACTTTATATGGTGTGCAAATATTTTATAGGATACATGCAAAAAAACAACAAGTGGGAATTCAATTTCGTATATTTATGATTAATTGATGTCAATATCATGTCATTTAAGTAATAGGTTTTAAAATGTCACATTGTGTAATGATTGTTCTTAATTGTTAATGTCCACACTTTCAGTTTGTTTGTAATTAATTAATTATTAGATATATATCAATATTACTGACTTCGGATTTATTTTCCACAAAAAGACATAAATTCTTTCAAAATCAGAGTTCGGCGCAGGTCGCCATCGTATTCACACGTTTCTACGCGAATCCTCTTGCAAAACCAGTAACCAAGACCCCTGTCTTACGGCGCTTAACACAGACCTCCGTGTCTACGGTCGCTAGACGCTTCCATACCGGAAAACCAACCGTCAAGACCCCTGGCGTATGGCGCTCAACCCGGGCGCTCAGTGTCTCGTTTGTCTGGTTATTTCCGAACAAAAGCAGTGACCACTCGGTTACTCGGTTACTCCGTGTCGCACGGACGATACTACGCTTAAGTGTAAGTGAAACAGTGATTGTGTGGTGCATAAGTGACTAGACAATTATTGAACAGAGCGCTTGCGCATTTGTAAATAAAAATATCGTTTTGCATTTCTATTATATCGACTTATTTATAAACTGATACAACATGATTCGATCACCAAATGGCAATGAATCAAAATACAACTCACAACCAGACTTGTCCAGAAGGACGGAAGAAGAAGTAATGTTAGTATCCGTAAAAGAAAAAAAATGGACCACGACTGTGACTGCAAAGCTGAGATACAAGGACTACGCAGTGAGGTATCGCGTATGAATAATCTATTAGAAAATTTCGTTATATCACAGGAGAAATTAATGACCGATATGCGTGAAAATATAAAAACATTGAACGAAGAGATCAAAGATATCAAATCCTCGACTTCGGGGATAGTAAAAGACCAGGACAACATCAAAGGATGTATAACAGATTTAAATAGCAAATTTTCTACGCACGAAGACAGGCTCACTTGTCTTGAAGGTAGTCTCAAGACATCTACCACTACTACCATTGATTCATCAGAGCCGAATCAGTTGAGGAAATATGAAGAAATAATTCAGGAAATTAAAGAGAGAAAAAAGAGAGAAAAAAATATTATTATAGTTGGCATATCAGAACAGACTGCTACCAGTACTGAGGAGAGGGTTGCAAAAGACGAAGCTGAGGTTTTAAACATAACAGCCGTGGTAAGCAAAGACATTCCCAAGCCGATTAAAATTTTTCGTATTGGCAAATACAAACCTGAAAAGACTCGTAGAATTAAAGTCTGTTTTGACAAACCAGAGCCTGCAATGGTACTACTACGTAACAAAGCCAAATTACCATCTAACATCAAAATTTTCTCTGACCAAACTCCTGCTCAACAAAAGCACTTTCTAACCATAAAGAATGAACTTACAAGACGCAAAAATAACGGAGAAGATGATATTACGATAAGATACATAAATGGCATACCAAACATCGTTAAATCTGTCTCAAAAAACTCCAACGGCCAATAAGGCATACAAAGAATTCTGATATATTATATCAAATTGTAAGTGACTACAGACTCATACAGACAAGAAAATCAGGTGTTTCATTTCTCTACCTAAATGCAAGAAGTATCAGAAAAAAAGGAAAGTTAGACGAACTTAAATGTATTCTAAAATCGACACCAACACCTATACACGTAATATTAGTAACAGAAACCTGGATACGAAATGAAGAACAAGCCCGACAATTACAGATCGATAACTACACTCATTATTATAACTACAGGAACGATATCATAGGTGGAGGAGTATCAGCGTACATACACAACAACTTGAAACATCACTCTATAGAATCGACGTATCTAGAAGGAAACAACTTCTTATGGATACACCTAGAAAAATTCGGAATCAATATTGGCGTGGTATACAAACCCGGACATACCAATGTTGAAAAGTTTTTAAAAATATATGGTGCACAATTGCTACAACAAAAGAGATCGATTATATTCGGAGATTTCAACATAGACCTACTTACAAATGACAAAACTTCAACTAAGTACAAACATACAATAAGAGAATCAGGCCACAAGTTATTAAATAAAATTCACAAAAAATATTGTACTAGAGAGTCAGAGACGAAGAAATCTATCATAGACCATGTCAGCACAAATCTTCAATGTGAACAATTCAATTTTGTTATTATTAACTCGTCCATGACAGACCACAAACAGATCTTCCTGCAATTGAATAAATATGAACCACACAAGAATTTAAGAACGACTTATGAGGCAATAGATTACAAAAGAATGTATACTGAAATGGAATCATATGAAACGGAAGCCACTGCAGACACTTACGAATATCTTGAAAATAAAATAAAGCAATGCGTAGCACGTAATCGAGTAGTGAAAACGCAAACACTGAACCCGCCTAAAAATGACTGGATCAACAGTGATATAATCACTGGGATTACCCAAAGGAACTACCTATGGTTGCAACACAAAAAAAAATCAGGATGACAAGAGACTAGAACAAGAATACAAGCAAAAAAGAGACACAATAGCTAAACTGATACAAAATACGAAAAATTCCTACTACTATAAACTATTTACAAAATATACTAATAATCCTAAAAAGATGTGGGCTCTTATAAATAACCTAGCAAATAACAAAACAAAACAAAGTAGTGCTCCTCCAAAGCTCTTAATAGACTCTGAACTAATTAGCGACACAGATGAAGTTTGTGATATTTTTAACATATATTTTTCTACTATAGGTTCTCTATTAGCAAACAAAATACCTAACAAATATCACGATAGTACTATGAATCCTGATTTCATACAACAAAAAATAAACGATCATAAACTGTCTGCCTTTACCCCATGTAATGCAAATGAAATAAATAAAATTATTCACAACCTAAATCCCAATACTAGTAGTGGAATAGACAAAATCAGCACAAAAGTCCTAAAATGTTTGCAAGATCTAATCTCTGAAGGCCTGGCACATTCAATAAACAAACTTATGACTGACGGCGAATTTCCCGATACTTTGAAGGTTGCAAAAGTAACACCAATTTACAAATCCGGGCCCACAACTGACCCAGGAAACTATCGTCCTATTTCTGTACTACCAATATTGTCGAAAATCCTAGAAAAAGTAATACATAACCGATTATCAAGTTACCTGGATTCATTTAACTTTATATCTCCACGTCAGTACGGTTTTCGGTCAAAAAGCAATACAACTGCGGCAATAGTAGATTTAACAACAAAAATTAAAGAAAACCTGGATAAGAAAAGGATTGTTCTAGGCATTTACATCGACCTGAAAAAAGCCTTTGATACCGTAAGTCACCAGTTACTTTTAAAAAAGTTAGAGCACATTGGTATCACAGGTAGTGCCCTTAAAATGTTTGAGTCGTACCTAACAAATAGAGTACAGATAGTCAAAATAGATAATAACCAAAGCAATACCCAACCCATTACATATGGTGTCCCACAAGGGTCCATATTGGGACCGCTTCTTTTCCTTATCTATGTTAACAATATAACGAATTTAAGACTACACGGCCATTTAACTTTGTACGCAGACGATACATGCCTATTCTATTTCGGTACAAATATGGACGAAATCATCTCAAAAGCTCAAGAAGACCTTAACATGTTGTTTGAATGGTTTCAGTCCAACCTGTTAACAATCAACATCTTAAAAACATGCTATATTATCTACAAGTCGAAAAATAAAATAATTCCCCCGCATGCTCCTTTAACAATTGACAACATTCCACTCGAACAAAAAACTTGTGAAAAATATCTTGGTCTGAGAATGGATAGTAATTTAACATGGAACAAACAGATAGAATATATAAAAAGCAAATTATCGTCGCTAACGGGTTCACTCTGTAACATAAATCAATGTATACCTAGGAAACTACGTTTCAATATTTACAATTCACTTATCAAATCTCATATATTATATTTAATAGAAATATGGGGCAGTGCCGCCAAAACGAAATTGCAGGAACTACAAAGAGCTCAAAATAAAGCAATAAAAATACTTTTCTCCTACCCATACTTAACATCGACTCGTAAAATTTTTGATGACACAAAAATAATGAACATTCGACAACTTTATATATATAGCACTTGCATTCTAATTAGGAAGATCATGAGTAAAAACATCCAAACTAGTTTGTCCTTTACCAAAAAGTCACAAATATCCAAACGCAGTCTTCGTCGACCTAGCTTGCTCGTATTGCCAAAGACACGTACCAAATTAGGGAAAAAAAATATTACCTTTGAGGGAGCACACTTTAATAACAGCCTACCTTCTCATATTAAAAATATAGATTCCTTTAACAAGTTCAAGTCTCAATTGCACAACTACATTCTTGAAAGCTACTGACTTGTAATTTCGGAGAGTGTCACGATGGAACTGTGAATACGGT